AAAAGCCAGACTCGCCACGATGGTGATGACAATGATAGTTAGTAGCAGTTGTGGCGGTAATGGTAGTAGTAGTAGTAGTAGTAGTTGTAGTAGTAGTAGTAGTAGTAGTAGTCGTAGTTGTAGTTGTAGTAGTAGTAGTAGTAGTAGTAGTAGTAGTAGTAGATGATGTAGATAGTAGATAGTAGATAGTAGATAGTAGATAGTAGATAGGAGATAGGAGATAGGAGGTAGTAGTAGTAGTAGTAGTAGTAGTAATAGTAATAGTAATAGTAATGGTAATAGTATTTAGTAGTAGTTAGTAGCAGTAGTTAGGAAGATTTTCGTCACCCACCTGGCACGCCAATGACAACTCCCCACACTGGTGACTAGACACCAGCATATGCCACAACAACAAGTGCTGATCCCAGAATTTTCAGTGATTCATTTATGTATTTCTGCATAGCAGGAGTAACATGACATTTCCCGGCGTCGGTTTCAACAACCGCAATGCTATTTACAGGGTCCATGGACGACATAACATGACCAGGCGTTGAAGCTGTTCTCAGCTGGAGCTTGAGGAGGGCACCATGTAATCGAATCTTGGAGACCATAACCGCGGCTTGAGAATGGGGCTGCTATCGATGTCCGACCTGGGGCGCGGCTCTTGTGAGAAGAACAGGCGGCTAATTCTAGCAGCAACCTGCGTCTGCATCCACAGAACCGACTTCTCTCTGTGCAATCCAAACTACGACACAGCCCTGCATGCATGCATAGTGACTGTCGCACTTTGCTCAGGATTTCTTGGCTCCAATTGTCAAGCCTTTTCTCCCAGTCGGAACCGCAAAAGAGATTCATGGATGCCGCCCACCTCCGAAGCCTGAGGAAGTCGCTGCAGCTCCACGCTCACCGGACCATGAAGGTTCTCTCTGGCCCTCGTGAGGGACACGTCCTTTGCGGGACCCCGACCCCGGCCCACGACTTCAAGCAAGCTCCGAAGCACATCAGTTCACACCCATCCGGCTGAATCCCTCGAATCAAACCAAAAGAGCCGCTGCGGGTTGGACCTGGCCGTAGGTTCGCATCGCGCGCAGATGCTGCTGCCTGGAATATCGTACGTGGCTGCACACTTTGGATCGGGGCTTCCGCGAGACCACGCTTCAGGCGTTTCAGGCATGATGCATGCCAGCACATTGTCGGGCGACGACCTTTGAAAAAAAAACAGCTCTCAACTACTCTGGGCAAGAAAAATTGGGGGACTCATGCAGCAAGGGGAGGGTTTGTTCTGCAGACAGGCCTTGTGAGCGACTTGTTGAAGTCCTCTGGAGGAGGCCCTCTTGACTTCCAGCGGGCCTTGCATTCGGTTCAAAAAATTTCATGTTGAGCTTTGCATGGGAATTTGTGCTCTCACACTGGCAAAGTTCAGAGTGTGGGATTTTCCCGTTCGCCAGCTTGACGATGGTGCAGGGCAGGGCCTTCTCCGCCTCCATGATGTTGAAGCTCATCTCATGATCTCAGTAGCAGCTCCGGTCATGGAATCCATGAAGCCTCGAGCTCGATTACTTCAAGCGTGTTTCAACCATGCGCACAAGCTTGCTTCTTGGGCAAGTCGCGCAACAGTCGTTCCCACACTCACATTACAGTCGATGTGCAATCAGAAACAGTAATCTTCGAAGCGTTGGACTAGTCGGACCCGATCCGAAACACAGCCTGAGTCGCAAGACAGCTAAGCCCCGGGCCCCAAACAATGCGGTCGGCCTGTAAGCTACAAGGCTCGTCTTGCTTTTGCCCCCAAAATTTATGAATGTCGGTTCTGATGCTGCTAGTCTCTCGCCGTCGTCATAGTACAAGTAGCAGCGGTAGCAGTATTGGGAGCAGTCGCAGTTGAAGCAGTACTGGCAGCAGCAGCAGTAGCAGTGGCAAGCTGTTACTGTTACTGCTGCTGCTACTGCTACTGCTTCAGCTTCAAAAGACCTACTCCCACTCCTACTGCTTCTGCTACTGTTACTCTTCCTGATCCTAATCCTACTCCTACTCCAACTTACTCCCACTCCTACTGCTGCTGCTGCTGCTGCTGCTGCTGCTAGTGCCACCGCTTCTGGCGCTGCTCGGTAAGGTATGCAAATCAGCTGGCGCTGCCCCACGAAGACGTAGCGCCGTGGGGTTACAGCTTGAAGAATATGGAACGAAGCAGCCAGCACTCGAGAAGCTTCGCTGGCGGTTGCTCGACCTCTAGGGTCGCTCTTGGTGGTTCAGCTGATCACCAGGCATCCTGTCACAAGGCCCTGTAATCTAGCCTAGGTCTTGCATACGCATTAGCACGGTCTCCCGGCCTCCGGGTCACTGACATTGTGCCATGGCTTCTTCTTCCCGATGATGGACCTCACATTACACTTCTTCAACCTTGAAGCACTAGCTCCTGATTTCTGCTTGCTTTCAGAGGAAGGGTCCGGTGACCAGGCTGCTTTAACCGGGAGCGCGGCCCAAACGCAAAATCACCGACGACGCCTTTTGCGCCCAAATTCGCAGATTCGAGCATGGGAACGGACCTCAATGTGCGCACCCGTTCTGTCCCATACGAGGATCCCGGATGGCATATGTGGCGACATGCTTGCCGCCGTTGGTTTCCTCAGAGACATCTTCCCGGCTCAACAGTTTCTGGGCGATTTGGTTGGTCGAATCGGAGTCGCGTGTGTATTTCGAGGTTGCCAAGCTTGGACTCACGGTCATTGTCGGACGTGGAAAGCACTGGCACGAAGTGGCACGAAGAGAGCTGATTCTTCTACTAGCTGTCAGGCACGGCGAAGCCATAAAACCATGAGCACGTCGACGATTGTCCTGTCCTCCCACCAGCCTCACGGCTTGCGTTGCACATGGTCCAAAGCCGCATCCAAGGCCTGCCGAAATCCGGCTAAGTCGACTTGCATGAAATTGCTGACTTCGTCGGAAACACCCTGTGTCATGACATGGAAGTACTTCCTCGGTCGATTATGGAGTATCCTGTGGCAGTCCCCCAATGCATTTACAGTCAGCTGCCGCCGCACTCACATCACACCCTTCTGTAGAAGAAGTTAGCGAATCTGCACTCTATGGCCCTGGAGTACAAAAAACAAACCTAACCTATCAATAAAAGAATGCCTCATGTTCACGGCCAGCAACACCCAAGAGATGCTTCCTTCCAAGCTGAAGTAAGTAGCCAAGCGGACGCTGCCGTCCGGCAGGTCGCAGCCACGGACCTTCAGAGAGTGGGCACCACAAATGAACTCGATTACCGCCGTATGGATGGCACAGGGCATCCAGAGGATATTTGAGAAAGCAGTTCCGTGCGGGCCGAAAACGAGGATGGCAGAGCTAAACAGGCGATGCTGCTCTTCGTAAGATGCTGCCTTCTTGCCGTCCGACGTACCATTGAAGACCACGATTTCTGACGACATCCCGTGCCGACTCAGGGCGTCTTTGGCAATCTGCACAACCTCCTGGGAATGTTCAGTTGTCAAAAGCCGGCCGTGTCCTGCTGTGGAAGACATTCGAAGGGTGTACACAACCCTCGTTGCGTTGTAGGTAGGCTGCACATGTGCGATATGCCTGCGCAAGTGATTAAACAGAGCGGGAATGCGAAGTCCGTGTGGGCTCGGAGCCTTTGGGACCACCACCCACAGTGAAGAGGCGCACACCACTTGCTCGGACTGTACGAAAGAAGTCCGCTGGTACAGCTCCGGATCAAACCACGCGAGGAACTTCTGGATATTTTTCTGCGTATCCAACTCCAGAACTATTCGTGCTTCGGGGTGTGAGGTGCTCATCCAAACGAGAACTGGCAGCAAGTCATGCAGAACATGTCCATACTGAAACTTCTTGAAGAAGAATCCCCTGAAGAAGACAGCCTCCCCTTCCACATTCTCTGCACAATCTTGCAGAAGGTCTTCGGTCGTCGGTGGCAGATACCAGCCCGACCGCGCTAGGTCAGGGCTCGATGGGGAAACTCGAACTTGCCAGTTGCCAAACCCTGCGGCTGCTGGATATGTAAAGCGTGCTTGGGGTAGCTTTTTGACTTCGAAAGCATCGTCAATGCTTCGCATCAGCACGTGCTTCGTGACCCATGCTGCCTGATCCCAGACTTCATGGTTTGCGGAATCGTTGGCTTCAGCCCCCAAACACAGAGTGACTTCGCCGACAGCATCAACGGCCGGACAGTTGCCCGTCAAGTAGGATACTGTAGACAAGGTCGCGTCCTTCACCATCTTCAGTGGCTTTGACGACTCGATCCTGTTCACGACCTGAAGTGTTTCGCTTGCAGACAGAAAGAATGGGACTGGCAATAGCAGTCCTGCCGCAGCTGCCAAGCAGAACATATACCAGCGTACTGCCATGGCTGCATGCGAACTCTTGTTGCTGCACGACAGCCGGTGCCGCATTCTGCACTTTAATCTTTGCCTTGATTTGTAGCTGTTTGTTTTGTGGCCCCTCTAGCCTTCTGCTGCGTGCATCAGATCAAGAACTCGTTCCGAAAAAGGGCCGGGAAACAACCAGATCAGCTTCTTGTAACGACTTGAGGAAAGAGACACTTTCGACAAGCACTCTTCTTCGACAGCGCCGTGGGCTATAGAATGATACGGCATGTAGGCTTGGCTCCTTACAGCGGTTTGCTTCCGTTCCTGAAAGTGAATTGCATCATTGCACATTCTGGACCATGAGGCCACAAGGGAGAGGAGTGAGTAGGAATCACAATCACAAACCCCATGACTAGGATAATCAAATGCAGAGTTGCGCGAAGTGAGCCGGAACTTGGCTAGACGAGAGGTCGCCATGGCAAGAGGCACCGTAGATGGTAGTCCTGGTAGTGGCCGAAAACTGAATGTGCAGCAACCTTCGAGATTCCGGCGGTCTTTCCGAGTACTTGGAGAGGTCGGGGCCTCGAGCTCAACCGTTTTTATGTGAGTTCAGCATCGGGGAATGCCCCCTTGAACCGCTCACCGATAGCACTGCATTTGCGACAAGGTCGGCTTCCAATATGACCTTCGGCCTCAATCGATGACCGGGCCACCACAGTACAAACACTAGTGACGACTGTCGGGCTTCGATATGGCCAGGCTTCCAGCCTGGAGCCAGATCCTGCAACTAGTGGCGACACTCCCTTCCCTCCCTTCCCGCTCCCTCCCTCCCTCCCTCCCTCCCTCCGTCCATTCCCCCTCTCCCTCCTTCCTTCCATCCTTCCATGCACCCCTTTCATCCATCCCTTGTCCATCCGCCATAAACCTTCGCTGAACCGTTCTGTACATCCCCTATTTCAGCCCTGCTGTAAACACTTCCATAAACCCTTCTAAAATCCCTTCGATCAACCCCTCCAGAAACCTTGCTACAAACCCTGCTACAAACCTCTCTATAAGGCCTCTCCAGAATCTCTACGAAAAACCATTCCATGAATCTGTGTAGAAACCCTTGTGCCAACCCTCCTATAGGATTCTCTCAATGTCTTCTGTGAGGCCTTCTTTGTCCCAAAACCCTTCCGTGAACCCTTCTACAAGCCGTTCTATAAGCCTGTCTTCAAGCCGTACTTTGAACGCAAGACTCTTCCACAACCCCTTCTATATACTATAAGCCTGCGAACATGCCGTTCACCACTAAGGCCGTCACGGAGGCCGATGCTCAAACTATGTTCGAACTGTACAACACTTTCACCGTGAAAGCTGGAATGCCTGTTCCTGTTACCAACACCATCAGGATCTGAGCAGGCTTCACACAGGGCTCCATGGAGAACCACCACGGGGACTTCCAGGCCCGTGCCACAGATCCGGGCCTCCGGGGGCCAGGCTATGTAACCTTGGCCTTGTGGCCAAGACCGGGCAACTCCTTGCCAAAGACCTGGCCGCACGCAGAAGTGAAGCTCACCACATGAATTGCAGTGCTTGCCTAACCAGAAGCCTCGCATCACGATGCTGGCCATGCGAAAGCACAGCCGGGCACAGGACGGCCGCAACGAAACGCTGTAAGGGGGATTCGAGCAAACCAGCGCCCTGGCGATGTGATGTCAAAGCAAGCCCGGAAACCTCCGCATTGAATCCTCAAGCAGCAGCCAAAGCAACAAGACAGAATACTGCGAACAAAATCTGCCTGTCTGGCAAGTGATCTCCCTCGCGTCCATCTACCTCGAAGCGGCCAACGCTCTCCTGGCGAAGGGCCAAGGCTGGGCTCCGTGGGAGCCACTAGCGATCGCACTGCGATGATGAGGGGCACTACTGAGACTACGGCTTGAAAATCCAGGCTCACGAGGACCTTGCATGGTGACGGTCCTTTAGAGGCTTTCGAGCCGGTAACTTGCCGAAGGGGATGTTCTTGGTCCTGAGAACAGGCACAGTGCTGGCGTGCAATCTCATGCTTCCAGGTGCATAACGAAATACAAACCTGAATAGCATTGCCGACTTGCATTTGATTGGCTATCTCCTCTCTTTCTAGGCCCTATGAGTAGGTGCCATGAGGAGGTCCAGGCCTGGGCCTAGGCGACCCAACTGCAACGAGGGAAATAGAGGCACGGTACAAAAACCACTGAGACCCAAATTGAATTCAGTAGGGCCTTTGGCTTGGAATGGGAGCAGGTGATAGTTTGAGAACTTCAAGGCTCACGATTGCTCCCGGCTAGCTGGAAGGACTTTTGCGGTGGCGTGAGCTATGACAGTTCTACAAGCCCATTGCCGTCTTGGCACGTCTTTGCCGATGCCGGAAAGCACCACTTGACACAGTATGACTAGCCGCGGAAGGCAGGCAAAGATATCAAGGCGTAATCAAAACTACTCCACAAGACGAAAGCATGCAGCGACAGCACCACCAAAGCTCTACGGCTGGGTGCCCGAGCTCCAGCTTTGGGCGTACGGCATCCAAGTTCGGCTTGTACTGGCCGGGCCTTCACATACGCAGGCGCACACACAGACACATGTCGTATTTATATATTTATATGTGTAGATATGAGTATGTAAGGGATAGATAGACAAAATACACGGATAGACAGACAGCTGGAGATAGAGAAAGTCATAAAGATAGACAGAGAGGATAGACAGAGAGAGATAAAATATAGACAGATGGAGATGGATGTAGCTAGATACTGATAGGTACAAGACAGAGCAGACTGGTTTCATTCACCGAGATGATCATTCTTTCGATTCTAGCGTTTCAAGGCTCCTCCGTCCGTGTCGGACATCGGGGACTTCGGAGTGTCTGCGGGGAAAGCAAGCCCAGCTCCGACAACTTGGAGGCCAGGCTGGAAGTATGTCTCCGGATCCTTGTGCCTGGCTGCCGAAAGCCTGCACCACGAAGGAACACTTCAGTTGTAGTATAGTCCGTGGAAGTCAAAAGTGGAGCACATGCCATGCGATCATGCGAGACAAAGGCGGTTGATGCATGGCAGCCATACTTCAGGAAGTCATGTGTGACTTGGTGATACTATCCTGGGCCACCCACTTTGCAAAGTCCCACTCCGGAGTTCGAAGAATCCTTTGCGGCTCGGCCAGCCAACCGAGCGTCTCAAACTTGGAACTCTGCCGTGTGCCAGTCTGCAGGGCTCATCGGCACTTTCAGCCAAGGCGCATGGATGTGCTGCAGTCGCCATCCAGGACACCGTCCTCATGTCTCATGTGCTGAAACCTTCACGCAGAAGCTGCTCGATATCTCGCCAGCTGAGATCCACAGGGGCAAGAGACAGGCAGCACATGCTTGGCAAGCATAGTCAGGTGGTCGGGAGCGGGGTTTTGCGTGCCTGACCAGACCTCACCTGACCCTACCCGACATACCATTTCACATACACCAACACTAAGGCTCTAAGGCATTTACCGTGAAGGTGCTGTCGTTGAAGTTGATGCCAGCACTCTTCAGGAGGTCTGGCCTGGACAGTAAGGCGTTTGGTCATGGCTGGTTGTGTGGGGACGGATCTTCCAGGCAGCTGCAGTGTGCTACGGTCGGTTCAGAGACAGATCCCCATGGCACTAGCTTCACCAGCATGCCACATACGCTTTGGAACTGATGCGCTGAACAATACAAAAGCTTGCAGCTGCAACAAACGTTTGGCTCTTTTACACCTCCTGCTTCCAATCTGCATTCTGTCTGACAAGCAGTGTGGAGACTACGGGCTATGGAGATGTCGGAAGAACATCCTGGGCCGTGCATGCATGAGGAGCAAAAGCCGGTCCTGAAGCATATCACGCACAACAGCTGATGAAGTCAGCTTGTCTGAGGCCTCGGGGGGTAGCGATCCAGACTGGGAGTCGTGACGGCACGTCGCATCCTGAAGCACAGGCACAAGCCGGAGCCCTAGGTGTCGGGTAAAATCCGACTGTTGGAGATTCAAAGCTAACAGGGTGGGAAGACAGACGCGGTTTTGATATGCTTGCCGCAAAGAGTGTGCAGAAGGTTCTGCCTCATGCATCTTACTCGCCTCAATTAGCGCCCGACGGCCGTGGGAGTGAATGTCGGAGTTTCGCATGCACTTAAGGCCTCTGAACTCTACGCGAATAGCTTCACCACAAATTTTCAGGCCCGACCTGCTGATGGTACATAAACGGCCCGAGATGAGTGTGAGTCTTGTGTGTGTGGACCGAGACATGACCCGCAAACGGACACCAAGCCGAACCAGGTGTTCGGGGTATCATACCCGGCATAGCTCTGATGTAAGATCCGTCTTGCCTCAACTCCGCAAGATGCAAGCAAGCCGTCAGATAGGCCCCACAAGCCTCTCGGGCGGCTCGTCGCGCAGCTCGACGCTGGTAACACCCTGGACCGGGAACCCAAACAAGTCGCACCGCAGGGAAATAGGTAGTTAGACAGGAAGATGCACATATGCCTGTTCAATACCCCTGCCTGCCAGACGTTTAAACTCTAAACATGAGCAGCCTTCGGAGCCAACTACACCACGGCCGGAGACACGACACAGGCGAGAATCAGCTGTCTCGTTTTGCCCATGCTAGCCACAAGCTTATATCTATGCGGAAGCATCGGCAGTTGTCTACACATGCACCACAGTGGCAGTAAACAAGCGCACAAATACACACTATAAACGCGCGCATGTGATGTGCATGTATGCGTCTTTGTTTGTGTGTGTAATAACATACAGATATATATATACACACATACGTACACATACATATATACACGCATATACGTATGTCTATATATATATAGATAGATAGATAGATATAGTTGTATATATGTATATCTGTGTGTGCGCGCGTGTATACATACACATATTATGTGCATGCAGTCCCTTGTCTTTGTGTGTCACGGGTAATGAGCTGCTCGATGGAGTAGCGGTACATGTACATACGCACGCATTTTTGTACATATTTACCCTGCTTCGGGGCTGTGCTCCCTTCTACTTGATTGTTATACAGCATTCTGCCTCGATCTCGTCTTCCTATGTGCAGTAGGATATCACAGACACACACACACGCACACACTTACCTAGGCATTGCAACAAACACAGACACACACCCACACTACCTGACTGGCAGCGAGACAGAGATGATCGATTTTCTGAAGAAACAAATCAGCATGTATGTATAGTATGTATATATATTATACATATATACATATACATATATACATATATATATACATATATATACATATATATGTATGTATGTATGTATGTATGTATGTATGTATGTATGTATGTATTTGTGGTGCAGCGCTGCTAGGCGGCCCCCCTCCCCCCACCCCATTGTACTTGTATCCCCCCTCCCCCTGTACGCCCTGTGATGTGGATTCCCCCCTGTCCATCCCTCCAAGATGGTGATCAGATTCAAGCACATGCTCGGGCTGATTTGTAACGCACCCAACCGAATCCGAAGCTGAGCATAGCATGACAACGGCCGATACAAACTACGAAAATCTACGAAAGAACATCGAGGCAAACAGGCTTTGGAAACAAATAAAAGCAAGGAACGTGTTGTACCTAACAGGAGAACAGCATAAGAGCAGTGGTGCTACCAGCAGTCACACTCGGAATACCAGCATGCAAGAAACTCATGATCGTCCATGGCCTCAGCATCATCGCCATCATTCTCATCTGTGTAGGGAGGCACGGGGTTGCGCGATTTTGCGCGAAAGTTCCAAAGGAACGTCGACAGTTACGACGATGATGACGCGGACGAGCTCCATTTCTGTGACTATTTGCTCGGATGAAGGAGGCCCGGCTCGGCTGCTGTGAGAAAGGGAGGGGGGGGGCCACTGACGCGGCGATGCGG